CATACAAGATTTCAGTGCATGCGTTATTTAATCACAGTTATAACATTATGGACTAATTTTTTAGAAATAATAATCCTTTTAATTCTCTCTATATTATCTCACAAAATAATAACTCATAAAAATGAGGAGCTTATAAGGACAAATTAAAAGATTGAAATTCTCATATAGATATCCTATTTAAACCTTGTAGTCACTGATAGCTCTGAAGTTACTACATGGCTACTATAGCTTACTGTATTTGTAATCTTGGGCAAGTGATTTAATCTTTGTATACAAAATCCCCTGGTTGTGAAATGGGAATAATTACAGCATTTAACTCATAACTGCTTTTCTATCTGTTAGATAAATTTATGCATAGAAAAATACCTAGAACAAAGACTATCATTTATTAAGTGTTCAAAAATATTAGTGCTTATTGCTATATGTGGTATATTTAGCAACAGGGCACATTTTACATTTTCATTAATCAACCAAATTAACATTTTGGAAAACTATAACAATCTTGAGATGTATTGTAAAAAGGGAAATTGTTTTACTTTTCTTGACTTTATTAATGGTTTATTAGGAAGTCTGAACAAGACATCCTTGAATACTATATGTTAGATTACAAATAACAAAAGAAAGTAACTAACAATTCTTGATTATCAGGAAACATCATTTTAAAAATTCTATAACTACAGATAGTAAAACGCTCATAATTTCTGCTATCTTTAAATATCTGTCACAAAAATATTGTGAATTTTTCATTGGCACCGCATGATAACTTGATTATGTTTCCTACTAGTTTAAAACTGCAGTTCCCTAGGCCCCAGCCAGATTGAATGAATCAGAATTCCACAAGACAGACTCAACAGATTCTCTTACTAGAAAGCTCTGTAGGTGATTTTTATACACACTACAGTTTGAGAAATTCTAATCTAATACATTGTAAGAAAATCAATCATTCTGACATCTGACTTTCGCAAGAGTGAGAATGTTTCCTATTCTTTTACAGATAAACTTTGATTTCTGTCTGGGATCAGTAAAGAAAAAGAATAATGATTGTTTGTAACAATTTTGAGGCTTCAAAATGAGACCTGAACCTATCACACAATTGAAATACTGTCAATATTCTAGAAATCAAAGGGATTTTTTTCAGAAACCAAAGTAATATATTTTGATTTCATTTCTGTTTCTATAGATTCATGATATTTACGATTCCTTATATATCATAAAAATCCCCACTTTTTTGACATTACCCATAAAAATATGAATAGATGTATTTTAAATGTAGGATAACTTTTCAGTTGAAATAGTGATGGTCCAATTACAAATTATCGTGCTATAATTATTTTTAAAGTTATTTTGATAAATTGATAATCACAAAAGTGCTTGTTTTACATAATACTGCTCAGTTTATTTTCTACAAATATTTAACATGTTAAAAATTTTTTTAATCTTTTACAAATATAGTATTACCTACAAATGGAAATTATTAAAACTGGTAATATATTCATATGATAAGCACATACAATGATAAGCTGATAATATTCCTGAATTAAATACAATGATGGAAAGGCAAACTACAAATAATATTTAATGGCAGGTTTTATTCTCTTTTACATCCTATTCATATACGATGTATAATTCATGAATTTATGGCAAGAATTTATTACATGTTGGATCAAGTAATGAAATTTGTAAATCAAGGTGAAAATACATGTGTCATATTGTTATATTATTGATTTTATTTGAAGTTCAAAGTGTTGAATTGTAAATAATATAATTAACAATGTAAATTGTATCATTAACAATAAAACTGAGAGACATAAAAAGATTCAGTTTTGATTGGAAATCTGGTAACTACCAAGGCAATATATAATAAATATCTCATATACAACCTCATGGGAAAATCTAGGACTGTTTTTTGGGGGGGATTGAGAAAGGGTCTCACTCTAGTTGAGACTGACCTGGAACTCACTATGTAGCCCAGGCTGGTCTCGAACTCACAGTGATCCTTCTGCCTCAGCCTCCTGAGTGCTGGGATTACAGACGTGTGCCACCACTCCTGGCAGGACTGTTGTTTTATTTTGTTTTGTTTGTGGCACAGGGGATAGAACCGAGGACCTTCAGACTGTGATATACCCCCATCTTCCCATTCTTGAGATTGGATCTCACTAGGTAGATAAGTTACCTGGGCTAGGCTCCAATTTATGAGCCTTCTGCATCATTCTCCCACAGTGCTCTGATTATAGGCATGGGCCACTATAACTGTTATAGGATTTTTCATATTGGCATTTGTCAGCACCCAGATCAAAATCCGTCATGACTAGGAGATATTACTTCCAAGATGCAGGTTACTGGTGACCTCTTTGCTTATTTGAAATTTCAACAGACCCCTATGATATTAAGAAAACAAATACTTACTATTATATTTTCATTAAATAACTTAGTTGACACTGGATACTTCAATACATTTTTAGATAGGGCATCAGAGGCAAAATGAATGAATGAAATAATTGATAAGCTGTACTTCATTAAGATGAAAACATCTGCTTTGACAAAGGCAGTGCCAAGTTAAATTAAAAATAAGCCATGGAATTTGAAAAAAAATTGCAAAGAAATAAGAGGGAAAGGATTACAATCTAAATTATTCTAGTAACTTTTTAAACTGAACCGTAAGAAAGTCAAACAACATGATTTACAAAAAAGGCCGTAGAACTTAATAGATAGTACATCAAAGAAAGGATACAAATGCTGAGCAGGCATATGAAAAGGTGCTCCATATTCGTTCCTGGAAAAAATCAAATTTAAACTATAATTGGATATAACTACATACTCACTAGAATAGCCAAAATCTGGAACATTGACAGTACCGAGTGTTGGTGATGATGTAATGAACAGGAGCTCTCAATCACTGCTGTTGGGAATTCTATGCAAAATTCTATGACCATTTTGGAAGACAGTTTGATGATTTCTTACAAAACTGAACACTACATTACCATATAATCCAGCAATGAAACTCCTCAGTATTCATGCAAAAGACTTGAAAACTTATGCCTGCACAAAAATTTTCTCATGATACAGGACATTTATTCATAATTGCCAGAACTTGGAAGAAATCAAGATGTCCTCTGCTAGGTCAAGCAGATAAATCAACTTTAGTAATCCAGAGAGTGGAATATTAGATAATGTTAAAAAGAAAGAGCTATCAATCCTTGTAAAGAAAAGGAGGCAACCTAAATATATATTAATATGTAAGATAAGACAATTTGAAAGAGTTAGTGTTATGATTTCAAATATATTACAGTACATTGTAAAAAAGCATAACTTTGGACATAATAATCTTACAGAGGCTTCTGAGATTTAGGAATGAGAGGGTTGACTAGGTGCAACACAGGCTATTAAAGCAATAAAAAATTCTGTATAATGGTATGTCCTAGTCACTTTCTTCCTCCCTGGGACAAAATACCTGACACTTGTGATTTAAAGGAGGAGAGTTTTATTTTGGCTCACGCTTCGAGTCCATGGTCAACTAGGTTCAATATAGAAATGGTATGGGTGAAGGGTCTGAGCTGAGGAAACCTGCTCACCTGATCACAGCCAGGAAGCAAAGAGAAAAAGAAAGAGCCAGGGAGGAAGCTACATCCTTCTAGGTCATACCCCCAGTGACCTTCCTTTTCTGAGCAGATTCCACTGCCCAACAGAGTAATCAGCAGCTGAATTCAGCACCCCTATGATCCAACAACTTTCAAAATGTTCAACCTTTAGGTGGATGAGAATTTGTGGGCATATTCACATCACAGCCATACCACAGACTGCATGGCACCCAAAATATGCAAATCTCTTTATGCACAATGTATTTATTTCATCTCTAAGACTCACCAATGTTTAAACTGTTCCAGCACTGCTGAATAGCCCAAATCCAAATCTTCGCTGAGACTAAAGGCAAACACTTAGCTGTGAGTCTCTTTAAAAATAATTTAGAAAAGTCTATTTAGACACTGCCAACTTGCAATGGTGCAGGGTATACATCCACCTTCCAAAAGGGAGAAATAGAAGGATAAATAAAAATGGGATGAAAGAATCATCATAACCCAGCAGGGAAAATGTTAAATCCTGAAATTCTGTGTCCAGCAAGCAGGGCAACTTTTTAAAAGATGTGAACTCCAAAGATCAAGATCACCCTTGCCCTTATAGCATTGTTGTTTGTAGCCCTTCATGATTTCTGTCTTAGAGAAACTCCCATCACTGCCTGCAGCTTTGCTCAGATATTACTCATTCTAGTTTCTCCAATTTCTTTGGATATCCACTTTATTTTTAGACTCCACTCCCACAGTTTCAGGCACTCTCCTTAGGCCATACTGCCAGGCTTCCCAGACTATCTTAGTCTTCCCATTACTAAGAAATGATACCTTACACTCACAGTTTAAAGGAGGATAAGTTTAATTTGCCTTATTGTCTGTAGATGTTTCAGATGATTTTCAGCTGGCTCCAAGGCAGGGCGGCATGGCAAAGAACTGCTCATAGCATGACAGGCAGGAAGCAGAGAGCAATCAAGGAAGGAAGGAGGGAGATATACCTTTCAAGACCACACCCCAATGACTCACCTCTTCCCCACATCGCATTTAGCTATAAACCATCAGTGGACTAATTCAATGTATATCACTTCCTTGATGTATTTACCTCCTAAAATCCAACCTTTGAGCACATGGGCTTTGGTTTAACACTTACATATAAAACATTCCACAGGCCTTCTTCCAAAATCTGGATGGGAGCTTCCATGGTAGAACAGCTTTCACATTCTCTATGTCCATAAAACCAACACTACATGCATGACCTCAAGATATGCTGCTAGCTGGAGTGTTAGCCAGGCCACTTTGTATCATGGCTGCAGAGGCCACTGAGTGTGAGGATGGCTAAGCACTGTGAACCAAATCCTAAACATCTGATTTTCTAGGTGGACCTTCTTAGACAAGATGCTTTGAGACTCTTTTCTTTTATTTATTTAATTTATTTTTAAGGGGAAAGCATGAATAAAGTCCGCAACTACCACAAATTATGCACTCCAGTTTCCCACATTTGGGGAAATTGCAGGGGTCAGCATATCCCGACTGAAATGGATAAGCCTCGCCCTGGGAAAACCACTCTCATGATCATGGTATCTCCCCTGCCAAGTAAGTATTGAGACTCTTTTCTTAAAACAAAATCTTTCTCTTTTGCAATCTTGTGTCTGTGAAGATAAGGATTTTGCAGATTCTTGAGAGGTCCTGTTGTCCTGATGCAAACTGTTTGGCTTTTTTATTATGTCAATCTTTACAGCAACCAAAGTTTCCACACATTTAGCATACGCTTCTCTTCTGATTAAACTTTACTCTTTTAAAATTATTTAATTATGCCCTTTATTCCTGATTTTCACTACAGATATCACTAAAAGCAGTACTTATGCTATAGCTTGAACATAGGGTTGCCTTGACATTTTCTCTGCCAGACTACAGAGATCATTGCACTTAATCTTATTCTCAGGAAAAGTGAAATATGTAGAAAAATTTCCTGCCAGAGTATAACACACATGGTCTTAAGTCCAACTGCCAATAGAGTTCTTTTTCCTGGACCGAGCCTGTTCCTTACTGTTTACATTTCTACGAAAACTCAGGTCTTCTGAGCTCTAACCAGCATGTCCCGTCAAATCCAGCTTATAGCAGTTCAGGTCTTCTCTAGCTAACATCAGTAAACATTTCCAACTCTTCCCACTGACACATTCTGAAGACTTTTGAAACACATGGTCAGGTAGTCACAGCAATGTTCCCACTTCTAATACCAAAGTCTGTCTCAATAACTTCCTCTTCACTGGTACTTGACAGAAGAAACTTTAAAGTGGAGAGGTTCATTTTGGCTTATGTTTATACAGTCATTGGTGGCTGTGAGGCAGGAAAGGATGATGGAAAGATTTGGGGGGTGGAAAGCTGTTCACATCATGAGGCCAGGAAGCACAAAGAGAAGAGAGCAATGGGAGAGGATAATATACTCTTCCAGGTGATTACCTCAGTGACTCACCTCTTCTGATCAGGTCTCACATCCCAACAGCATGCTCTGCCTCTTAAGTCACTAGTGTGTGAGTCCGCCAATGAGTATAACACCCCATCATCCAAATACCCTGCAAAAGTCCCACATATAGGCATGTGAGAATTTTGAAGGAACATTCCAGATCTAAACCAAAACATGATATAACTATGAGTACATATCATACATTTTTCTAAACCAGTAAATTTTACATTACAAAAGGTAAACCCTAATATAAACTATGACTTTTGTGTGATTAAAGTGTCAATGTATGTTCAACAGTTGTGGCAAATACTTCACAGTGGTGGAAGGTTTTGATAATGTGAAAGGCTGGCATGGGTGCAAAAGAGAGCATATTGAGAAGCTTTGTATATTTATCTTCTTTTTTCTGTGAGTCTAAAACTATGCTACTAGTAAGACTATATACTGTACACATTATTTATGTGTACATATTTTTAAGTAGCTAAATATGCACACTATATATAACAATTTATTTTAAAATTTTAAAATAAAAATCATAACTGACAGATTTATCTCAGCAATGCATGACAAAATTAAGTTAGTCCCATGAAGTCTTTTTTTTTTTTTGTACCAGGAATTGAACTCAGGTCCTTGAGTTTGCCAGGCAGGCAGCAGAACCACTGAGCTAGATCCCTGGACCCCCCATGAAGTCTTATTATGATTCTTTATATAAACAAAATTTTGATTTTGATATAATTTTATGACAATAGAAGAGTTGTAAAATTAGTAGAGTTTGCCCAGCATTTTGTGTTAGTATTTTATATTATACTGGTTTAATGTTCAAAACAACTTAATGATCTTAGATATAATATTACAAACTAATTTACTAAGTATTTTCTATTAATTTTTTTCTGATTCACAACTTAATCCAAGGTCCTATAATGTACTTAGTTGTCATATTTCCATGTTTGATATCAATTTGTAATACTTACCAGTTTCTCTTTGTTTTCATAATCATAATACTTGTAGAGAGTAATAAATATTTTTAAAAATATTATACAATTTTGTTTGATATATCCCAATGATTATACTAGTATTATGCAACCATTGAGGTAATCTTGCCTCAATACCAAAGAGATGATATGTGCACATTATTGTGTTTCATGCCAAGAGTTCATATATCCATATGCCTAAATGATGATGTTAACCATGAACATTTACCTAAGATGGTGTCTGCTGTGATCCTCTACTTTAAATTTTCTTTTTTTTTTCCTTTGAATTCTCTAAATAGTTTCTGAGAAATATGCAGTTGGCCTTCATTATGCATGGTTGTGTATTTGTGAATTAGATTTCTCATTAAAATTCATTTGAAACTTCAAAATTAATACTTGTGGATAATTTTGCAGTCCTTCATGGCCTGTGACAGAGAAGCAAAATATTTCTTACCCATAGTTATAGCCATAACTGACATTAAACAAGCAAATATTCTATCTTTTTGTTTTAGGTCTCATTTTGCAAGCTTGTGTTATATTTATAATATATGTAGTGCCACATTTTCCCAATTTTGTGGTTAAAATGGCTCACAGATATATTGCTGGGGGTAAGTGTTGTTAAATGTGCAAAGTCTGTGATGTACTGTATGGAGACAATAACATATGTTACATAAATTTCTTTCAGGCATGAGCTATGTTGCTGTTGTTTGTGAGTTCAATGGTAATAAATAAACAGCATACACTAAGGTGTCTTTACACAGTAACACATTAAACATGTATTGATGAATTGATGAAACGTGATTATGCATTTGCAGGTATCTAAATGTTTTTCTCCCTGGAAGCAATGGTTCAGTATTCTCCGATTCACTTTTGATGATAAGATAGAATATTGCTGTAAAAAATAATTGACTATAATGTGGGACTGTTAATGTGCTCTAATTCTGCTAATACTTTGACCTACCCACTTTAGAGTCTATCACTGTTTCCTTCCTGCAACAATGGCTACTGTTAATAATCCAACAGTAATTTTCTATTTCCCTTGTTTTAAAATTGCAATTCTGAAATTAAGAGCTGTTGTTTCATTGATGACCCCTTTATGGACGTGCCCTTCTATGTATCTATACATTTATCTATATCATAAGTAACTATTAAACTTTTGATTTATATTCCAAATCATCATTTCATTGCTCCAATCAATGTCTATTATGAGCTCTGTTAGACTGCCTCTTGTGCTCCTTCAACCTTCAACATGCTTCACTGGGGATTTAGCTCGGTGGTTCCACCACCTGCCTTGCAAGCCCAAGGTCCTGAGTTTGAGACCTGGTACCTCCCCGTCCAAATCGTGCTTCAATTCTCCACCCTTTTTGTGTCTTTCATAATTTCTCTTGTCACAAGATATCCAAAGCTAATTTTTAACTCTCTCTACCCCAACTGTGAAATCAATCAGTTCTGAAAGAGTGTTGGTCCCTTCTATTAAGAATAATATTTTGAAATCTATATCTGCATGAAAGAAGCAGCTCTTAGGTACTGGTATATCACCATATTTAGACCTTTTCAGAAAATAAGTATAGGAAATGTATACCAGTTCATCCATACATACGTAAATTTATTTCAGCATCTAGTTTTCTATCTTCATATTTAGAAAAGAAACTCACATTGTTATATCCTATTCCAACACAGCAACAAAGGATTAATGCCAGTTTTCATCTCTCCATCTCTGATAGGGCAAAATGTGCTCCTCAAAATCCACATTGATCTACTTAAGGGTACAAAGAAAATATTTCCGAATATCTACTCAAATATCAATGGCAAATGAATTTAACAGCTAGAGTATATTGTTTTCATACTTTTTTGTTTTTATTTTTGCAGTATCCAGATAAAACATTGTTTTCCAAATCTATTTTCCCCTATCCACTTCAGTGTGATAATGTCATCAATTTTTATTGTTAGGTTGCTTTGCAGTTGGTGTTCAATGTTTTTCCCACACAAATTTTTACCATTTAATTTCCTTTCAGTAAAATTCACATTTTCTTGTCTAAACTCCTCTGCATTTTTCAAATGCATAAAGCTGTGTGTCCATCACAATATTTCTACACAGAACAGTTCCATCTCCCTAAAAATTCCCCTGTGCTATACCTTTGTAGGTATGCTGGCAATTAATTCTTGCCATGTTTGTTTCTTGAGAAAATATTTTTCCTTCAATCTGAAGAGATAAAATTGATGAGTAGAGAATTCTGGGTGGGCTTTTTCTCCCATTGGCAATTTAAAAATAATATTTCACTCTCTTTTTGCTTTCATAGTTTATCAAAGCAATTTCTCAAGTAACTGATCTATAGATTTTCCCTTTTAATGTTACTGTGAGAGAGATTATTCGAACACTTGTAATTCCTCTATTACTGTATCACAACTCTATTTTTCCCATTACTTATTGAAAACTTCTTAACTGTAGTAGTTAGATTAAGAGTGCCAAGTACACATCCATCATGACCAAGTCGGATTTATTCCAGAGATGCAAGGGTGGTTCAACATACGAAAGTCATAGATTTTCCTTTAATGTTACTGTGAGAGAGATTATTCGAACACTTGTAATTCCTCTATTACTGTATCACAACTCTATTTTTCCCATTACTTATTGAAAACTTCTTAACTGTAGTAGTTAGATTAAGAGTGCCAAGTACACATCCATCATGACCAAGTCGGATTTATACTCGAGATGCAAGGGTGGTTCAACATACGAAAGTCAGTGAATGTAATACATTATATTAACAAAGTCAAGGACAAAAACCATATGATCCTCTCAATAGATGCAGAAAAAGCATTTGATAAAATTCAACACCCATTCATGATAAAAACCCTGCAAAAAATTGGAATAGATGGTCTATACCTCAATTTAATAAAGGCTATTTATGAAAAACCATCAGCCAACATCATATTGAATGGCCAAAAAAACTGAAACTTCATGTTAAAATCAGGAACAAGACAAGGATGCCCACTATCACCACTTCTCTTCAATATAGTTCTGGAAACATTAGCCACAGCAATTAGAAAAGAGAAAGAAATTAAAGCAATAAAGATAGGAAAGGAAAAGATTAAACTATCATTATTTGCTGATGATATGATACTCTACATTGAAGATCCAAAAAACTCCACCAAAAAACTTCTAGACTTA